CACAAACCAAACTTCAAAATATAGTGCCATCATGAATCCTTATAACTTGAATAAATAGTATCACGCCTAAATTATAGTTACTGCATCTCCATATATCCTCAGAGCTTAAAACAAGCATCAAGATGACACTAGAGCTTGAAATTGTACAAGAAGACACATATTAAAGATCCCATTTACAATTACACAAAAGCCCTACAAATCTCAGAATTAATTCCATAACAATATCAAAATTAAAGTTGGTGATTTGTTATATATAGATCCAAGGCATTTGAAGTAGTATTCAAGAAATATTCAATGCCCGTTTCTCAACAATTACTATTATGTTAGGAATGCTTTATGTTAATCTGTTAACTGACTAAATCACTAGAGACAGACACCATGAGTTTGTGAGTATAGTTGTAAGTTTTGGATAATTATAGCGGAAGAACGTTTAGACCTTCAACGGTCACCAATTAGATGAAATACAGATAAAGAAATAGGCAAACACTGACTGCAAGATGAACGACACAAAATAGGTGCTTACAGGCAGGCATCCCATTACATGTGCAAAACTTGAGAGTGATCGTAAACTTACATCAAATGCNCCCTGTTTCATGCCATCAAACATTTATTCATATCATCAATAATTCTCCAATGATAATAATCACAGCAGAAAAAAGAAAAGACAATTACCATAAACCATTTGATGTGCAAGAGACTGAGAGAACATACTCATGAGCAGCGCCAGACCAATTAGGAACAGAAGCTTGGAAATCATCACCAACTCGCACGTTCGACATATACGGCTCAGTATCTCTGAACATAAATTCCAAGGATCCAAACTCGCCTTCTGACACCAAACACCGTTTTCTGCCAATTTCATTGCCGATATTGGTTGAATTACTGCTCGACTTATCTTTCAATATCTTATGCTTCTTTTTCAAGCAAGAGCTGCAGAGCCACTCGCCAGCTGGCAACACGGTTATATGGGGATTGCAGCAAGAAACATGAAATGCGCCCTCGCAATTGTCGCATATAAGCATGTGCTGCGTACTTTTCACACGATTGCAAACTCTGCACGGCCTCAAACAGTACTTTTTGCTAATATTTTTATTAAAGGCCCGATTTTGTTTACTCAAAGCTCTATCAAGAAGCCCCTGGCCTCGCAGAATCGAAATGCATAAATCTCTTGCCGAAATTTCCTCCATCGATTTCTCGCCAATCAACGCACCAGAAGACGAGCACTCGCCCGAATCATCCATATTGAACTTCAGAGAAGCCGAGCTGAGTTCCAAATTAGATTTCGAGGAAGAACAGTTTTCATTACCGTTCGCAACTCTGTCCACGTCATCACTCATCATCAGGGCCCGTCCAAAGCTGGATTCTTTTCGATTATCATATCTATTAGCAAATTCTTTTTCAGAGCTTACGGCAGATCGACAGCCAACGCTTGGTTTAGTTCCATTATTAGGTGGATCGATTTCGACAGTCGAACAAGGGTCTTTGTGAGGTCTCTTTCGTCGGTACACGAAAGTTGGTGCCTCTCGAGACATTGAACTTGACGTTGACAGCTGTGAAATTCCATTAGGTAGCAGCTCGGTATCGGAAATTGAAACGGGGTCCTTATGAAGTCTCTTGCTCTGATATACAAAAGTTGGTGTGATGTTACGAGACATTGTGCTCGAGGTTGATAGCTGAGAAATTCTATTATTTGGTTTAACTTTAACTCCATCGGGCGGCTCATTTTCAGAAATGCAAATGGAATCCTTACGTGGACTCCTTCGTTGGTATACGAAATTCGGTGTGAAGTTTCGAGACATTGTACTTGAGGTTGATGGCTGGGAAGTCCCATTATTTGGTTTAACTCCATCTGGTGGCTCGGTTTCGGAAAGGGAAATGGGGTCCTTATGTGGACTCTTGCGTTGGTATACAAAAGCAGGTGTGGAAGTTTGAGACATTGATAGCTGAGGAAGATTAACTACACAGTTTACTGACACTGGGAAATTTCTCAGTGATGATGCTGGAGAAGGAATGAACCTAGCATTAAGGCATATCAATCTAATATATAAATAAATAAATTCACATAAGGCATCAAGTTTGTCACATTATTTTAATATATCAGACTCCAGAAAAAACAACATATATTAGAGTTTCCAAAAGTTTTGAAGATGTGTGCAGGGAATAAACAGTTAAATTGGTACCCCAAAAATCACTGTTAAACATCATATACAAAAATTCTACCTTCAGACGGATGCATACAGGATAAAATTTACAAGTTAAAATATATACAACAAAATTCTGCCTGAAATCAAATTATCTGATATTTCTGCTGATATATAATATGAGATTGCACCTTGCGGTCTCGCAAACAAACTCATCTTACCTGTTATTTCTAAATTTTAGTCTCGGCATAAACCAAATACTTATACCAAATACTCAACCATGACTCTAAAAACAGTTAAAAACAAGACCGAAGGACTTGAAGTCCATTTCACCCAAACAAACTCAATAGATTAGAATTCGAAATCCTCTCCCTCAAATCCATCCCCATCCAGATGGGACCTAAAGCTGTGTTATAGACTTATAGCTGAAACTTCTTTGTAATGTACACGCCTTTAAAAGTACTATTTTTGACCTAAAGACATCAGATAGTCTACACCTACAACAAAATAGAAAGTATCAACCTTTATTTTGATAAGCTTAACATTATTTGCCATCTCTCCATCACAAACTGCAAATGTGATTCCATATGTATCCAAACAAATTAACCACAATATACAGACTAAAATCTTCATTTCACCATACTTCAATCCGCTAACTGGGTGTCTTTAGAAAAGTATCCAGTCTTTTTGAATTCACCAAAAACCTTCAAGCATAACTCCTTGAACTTATTCTCTTGGAATTCCCACGATCTTGGATATTGAACTTCAGGATTAAACGCCTAGATTTAAGGTTGTGTAGGAGAGATAGAGTTATCCAACATGAATAACCAAGATTAAACACATTTTGCAGCCTATGGTTATTAGAATCATCAACAGTATGTGAAGAAAACGGTACTTCATTGGTAGTGTAAATATTTACGACTAAGCTTACATGGGAGGAAAGGTTCTCTTCAGTGAGTAATTGCAAACAATGATTTGGTGCAACCTGCTATTGCTTTTATATGATAAGTTAAGCATTTTTAACATTGAGCTGGAATAAGTTTTTTGAGGCATGATTCATTTTTTGTTTTATGTGAGGGTACCAAATAGGCTTGGTAATTATCAACTGGAATTATTGTTCCTGTTAGGAAGCATTATTATAGAGCAAGGTCCAGTGAGTGAAATCCTTTCCCTCGCTAAGAAGACGTGTACATTTCAGCCACAAATGTTTTCAGATAGAAAAACAAATCGGGTGTAATCAAAATTGAAAAGGCAATGAAATCATAGAAAAAAGAACTTTCTTGATCTATAAATAATTACTCTACAGATAGCTACCCAGATGATTTCATCATAGAAAATCAGACATAACAATCAAAGCATATACATTTTGTGAGAACGCCCATTAACTATCAAAATCACATCTTCAAGAATCCAAACTAATCAATCAAAATGTGGCGAATCCATTAAGTGACTTCCTAATCCAATACAGTTAAAGTAACAATATATTGGCTACCCAAGCAAATTTTGTCATAGAAATCAAGCTTAGAAATCTAATGTGAAAACCCCATGAACACAAGATGTGCTTTCCAAAAACCCAGATTCATCCATGCAATATACGATTGATTTGGTATTCGATTTCAATAGCCCATGCCTCTAATAGCCACAATTTTTTCCTTCTATCTCTAAATTCCACTCTGAATCCCAAATACACAAATTTCTAGAATCTTCTAATCCCTATTAGATACCATATGATCTCAAGAACTACTCACCATAAAGAACATTGATTTTGCCAACCCCTCCATCAGATTGATTCCCCATTTATGAACAGTTATCTCTCAATCCCAGGCATCAATATTTTTCTTTAATTCCAAGGGTTTGCTGTAATGTATCCCTATTTTTCAGACGTGTTGCTAACCCTCACCAGTAAGTCAAAACGATTTTGCAAACCCATTCAACAGGCAACCAAACATATGCACGGGCTATGATAGTTCTACAGGCATTTGACAAACTACAAAACATATCAAAGAACAGATAGAATTTTTCAGAACTAATCACCGTTAATATTTCAAGAAAACACAGTACAAACTCAAGAAACAAACCAAGAACAAAAGGAAGTAATTGGGTTTTTTTTTTCTCCTTTGATACCTTTAGTCCGCCATTAAAACAGTTGCATCAGTAAAGTCTTGCTATTAACGCTTTCCTGCAAAAGGCTTTGGGGTTTTCTTTCTCTCTTGAGAAGTAGGAGATGGGAATGCACTGTGTGTAGTTATATGCAAAGTTGCAAACTATATATTTTTGAGTGTTGGAAAGCAAGATTTGAAAGTGTAAAATGTGTGCTTTGGTGAAAATACAAAAGAAAAGGAAAAAATAAATTGAGGATGCTTGCTCCAAAATATACAATATATATTGTTTAAAGTTTGTATTTTGTAACGATACATTGGGAAATGAGGATGTGTGACGTTGTTTGTAACTTAGTTTAGAAAATTTCTCTATTTTTAAGTTGGTATATTATTAATCGAGATTGAAGAGTGCTTGTATTAAATCGGAAGATATGATAATAGAAGTCAATATAAAAAGCATTAAAAGAATTATATGTGTGAGCAAAGGTCGGCCAAATACATTAATCGATATTCAATTTTTGACACAACGAACGAACGGTTGATCGAGATTGAAGAGTGTTCGTATTGACTCAGATGTGATAATATAAGTCAATATAACAAGCATTAAAGGAATTATATGTGTAAGCAAAGATCGACTAAGTACATTAATTGATATTCAGCTTTACACCCAACGAACGAACGACTGAGTACGTTAGTCTATATTCAGCTTTTGACTCAACGAATGAAATGAATTGCACGTGTAAATTAACACGAGTTCATACTTTGATCAAAATTCATTTTGTAACTAGAAGCAAACGTAATGAATTAATTACAGGCGATCATTAATCTGCATACAACCTTATGAATCATGCTACATTATCAGAATGATGAAGCATTTCTTGTTGTTTTCATCATAATATTACCAACTACAATCTTGGTTATTGCCTTAGTACTTGTGACACTCCACACTTAAAATCTCAAGTATATCCACAGAGAGAGGAAGAGGTTTAATACACCAGCTGAGATCATTGATAGAAAAGGAAAAAACAATGTATACACTTATTGATGTTACAAGCCAAGTTGAAGATTCATGAAGGATGACTAAAATCCTAACAAGAAATTGTTAAATTCCCAATAGAAATAGTTTCAGTAAGTGAAAACACGTGTCAAATGAACTTGTTACATAATGAGTTCGTTCTGTGTCGAAAAATTAAATTTCGAGTCCATTCTGTAAACGGTAGTTTGGATCATTCAGAGCCGAATCAATGTTCTCCATCATAGTACCTGGACAATTAACTATTTAATCAGCCAGTCAAAATATAAGGTGAATATCACAGGCTAAAATGTGCGCCTAACAAAATCAAAATGAACCAATATTTCAATCTCATATCAGTCATATCAGTCATGCTAGGACATGTAAGGGTGTCTAGAAAAAATTGATGTAACAATTAAAATCTCCTCATGTATTCAATTTGGCCACTTGTAATTTCTAACGGATGATATTTACTAGCATTTCCCTATTTTTTAGAACTATTTAAGGGGCATTGGATCGTTGCTTTATTCAAGCTTCAAATAACAAAAGAAATGGAAATCACAAATTACAGCAATGATATTGCTATATATACATACACGAGCAAGTGCCCAGAACATAAATAACACAGATAAATAAAGAAATCATTACACACTACAAGAAAGAAAATTGCATTAAAAGATACCTTTTTCACTTGGTAGTAGCATCAAAATTGATGAGGAAATGAATTTAGACCCGTTGCACTGGTGTTCTGTGAGGCTTGGGGGCTGAAGCAAATAGAGAAAACAATATCCAGTTGTAACATAGAAATACTTGTGACCACACTAACGAAAATAGATTACCAGCTTCAAGCAACTCATGGCTCACACCAATAAATTCCTTGTAACATAGAAATACCAAAAGGATACAAAATACACACTTGAAAGTCTAGGGAAAGGAGTAAATCAAACCTGGTAAAGTACAACAATGGTTGGCTTGGGGCAACCATACAAAAACTTGATATTCAGAACCTGAAGCTCCTCCAGCCTGAAGAAATTACAAATTAGCTAATGTAAATTAAAGGATCAACAAATCAGCTAACATATAAGTTGGATAGGATATTGGCATGAGTGGATATGATTTTATTTTTTTTAAAAAAAAATGTCTAGTCAGAAAATAGAGATGTGGAAATATTTGAGAAAATTTTGAGATTGTGAATGGATATGAGATAAAACACGTAATGATTAGAGTTGATATGATATAAAATAATAAAATGTTGATTGATAGTGATTGGTAGTTAGAAATATGTGAGGCGCGAATAGTGCTTTTGCTAGAAAATATATATTAATGTTTGATTTTTTTATTTTTATTTTTATTTTTATTTTTGAATTGTTGTTAGTGGGATTCTGGAGAAAAAGAGAAAAACGAGATGAAAATGTTTTATTATTTTTTTTTTCAACTTACATCTAGAAGATAAATATTGACGGACCAGACAAGAATGGAACAATTGCATATCAAAGATGCTCCCTCGGAAGCCGACTACACAATAAATACGTCTAATGTATGCCTTTTTTTATTCAATGTAAGGTAAGAAGACCATGACTTTAAATTTAAATAGAACCAAAAAATGAACAGGTATGTCTAGTGATAGATCAGACAACAAATGATGTCTAAGTCATAGAACCAATTATTATCAGAGTAAGAAGGCATTTTACTTCCAGCATGGGTGATTACTTGAGTTTGTCAAGTGGAACAAGTACCTAATATTAAATGCTTCCTTGAGCTGGCCTTTGTTATCAAATGGAATGACCTGAAAACAAGAAATATGCTCATAAAGACTAGGGGTGTGGAGACAAGAGATTGAGAGAGAGATCCATATGAGGGCAATACCTTGAATAATCCATCATATAGGTGAAGCCCAATCAATCTGCAATCTGGGTCAACTATGCCAATCTACGAGGAGAGTAGGAAGCATGTCAAAGACTAGATAACTTTCAAAAGAACACTTGGAAGTTCCCAGCACAAACTAAATTACCTGTCCACTGTCCGTAGGACGACCAATTCGATCTGAAACATCCCCCATTGCCCTATTTCAATGGTGGAAACCACCCCCAACAAAAACAGAATAAAGACCTTCTAAAATAACGAATAATTAAATTGTGAAAACAACAGCTACAATGAACAAAACAATTACTTATAATATAAAGGCTAGTCCTATAATTCATTTGGATTACACCAAGTATTTTATGCAAACCCATTTGCTAATTGAGTGCAAAATAGTTGTGGCCATCACCCACTTGGGAGTTTAAGGCATCCACATGATACCATGAATGAGTTTAAAGACGTATTAAAACTTTAGTGACAACAAATCAGCAGAAAAAATGAAATGCTAAGAAGTAATTGTCCGAAACTTCAATAAAAACTAGTGTCACCTTGTAATGACCTCAGCATTTTCGGCATCCCATTGCAGAACACAGAATTTGTATCTTTCTGTAGCCATAAAAAGGAGATCTTGAGTTTCCCCCTGTCAAGTGAATCAAAGATCAACATATAATATGTTTCTCCATTAGACAAGGTAAATTAAGGCAAAATTAATCAGACAAAATAAACTTGTAACACTCACGTGTGGACAAAAAAGCTCAAGTGTTGCAATTCTACCATATATTGGGACATCCAACATAGGCTGCAAAACATACCGTAAATTAGAAATATGATTCAACTAAACTCATCACAAAAAATTAGTTTGGAAATTCAGCTACCACAATAGGATAAACTCCAACATTACCCCGTTCTAGGCTTTTCGGACTCTTATCCCAAACTAGACATGAAACAGTAATAATTCATAGCTTAACCAGTTATTCCAATACTTTTGAGCAAAATAAAAACATAAAAGGATAGTGTGAACCCCATATAAAATGTCGAGGAGCATCAAACTCTTGAAATTGACAATCAATGAATTACAACATTAGCATGTAGACCATCTTCATAATAAACGTCTAATCTAACCGTGAGTGCTTTACCTGTAAACCTTGAGGTGTGAGCAAATGAATCTCTATTCTGGTGCATTTCCTGCAAGTTCACGACAACCACGAGGACACCAAAATAATTAGACACCCAGAAATCACAAAAGTAAATCCCAATCACTGAAGCTCCATAGCAACAGCACCCATATCATTTGCAGGAACAAATCGGAACCCATAACCGCGCAGATACTGAAAACTTACCCATAATCTCAAGGAAAAACAAAGAAGCGAGAATGAAAAAAGCATGAGCTTTTTGGACTTATATAAAACAAACCAAAATGTCAATAATAGAATTTGGTCACATCACAACGAAATCATTTTCAAAAATAAAGTCAAAGACCAAAATCCATTACAACACGAAAAAAGAAGCAAAATGGAGAATTTATAAGCAGATTCAGCCGGTTATCATAGTCCCAGCCCCCTGGCCAGTAAGGATCTCGAGCAGCAAGGAATGCTTTAGTCGGCCGTCTATGATACTTGCGGTGGTGACCCCCTGAGCCAAAGACCTAATGCAGCAGTTGACCTTTGGTATCATTCCCCCTCCCACCTTCCCTTCCTCAATCATCCTCTTCACCCCCTTTATATCAATCTCCTTCACCAGACTGTTCGGGTCCTCCCGATCCTCCAGTATCCCCGCCACGTCTGTCAGCAGTATCAGCTTCTCCGCCCCTAAGGCCGCCGCCAGCTCACCGGCCGCAGTGTCAGCATTGATGTTGTAAGGCTGCCCGCCGCCGTCTGCCGCCACCGAGGCCACCACGGGGATGTGGCCGGATTCCACCAGCGGCCGGATCACTGTGGGGTCCACCCCCGCCACGTCACCGACGAACCCCAGCTGCTGCCGAGCGGACGGTCGAGCCGTCAGGAGCCGGCCGTCGATCCCCGACAGCCCAACAGCGGTGGCCCCGGCCTGGTTGATCATGGCGACCAGGCCCTTGTTGACCTTCCCAACCAGGACCATGGACACGATTTCCATGGTGGACGCGTCTGTCACGCGAAGCCCGTCCAGGAAGTTGGGCTCGATGCCCAGACGAGTCAGCCACTGGTTGATCTCGGGCCCGCCTCCGTGGACGAGCACGATGCGGAGGCCGACGCAAGCGAGGAGGACGACGTCGGCCACCACAGAGGCGCGGAGGGACTCCGACTTCATGGCGGCGCCGCCGTATTTGACCACTATGGTCTTGCCACGGAACTTTTGAATGTAGGGGAGGGCCTCCGATAGGATCTCGACGCGGGTTTGGGGGTCCCACTCCGTGGTTTTTTCTGGTGGTGCATTTGTGGATGATTTCAATTGGGGGGTTTTGGTTTTGATGTGGGGGTTCGGTTTGAGGAAGCGGACAGTGTTGACGTGGGATGGCGGCGGAGCAAAACTGTTGGTTTTGCCAAGGCAGGGAGATGTGAGAGCAAGGGTTTTAGCTGCCATGGGTGATTGTGAGATGATTTGAGAAAATGAGAGAAATTGTGTGATGAACCGCGAGGAGGAAGGTCGGGAAATTGTGATGAACGGTTGCGGCGAGGGAGAAAAGGGGTGTGTTTGTATTAAAACAAAAATTATTCATATACAATGCGTAATACCTTGTGGCGAAAAGGTTTTGTCCGGTTGATTTTTATTTATATTTTAATTTAGTTTGTATACAGTGAAAGCGGCATTTCTCCATTTCTTGGTCCAAGGCCCAATCTGCAAAAAATAAAATGTGATTAACAATAATAAGAATTGCATTTTTCCCTTATTTTGATAAGCTTAACATTATTTGCCATCTCTCCATCACAAACTGCAAATGTGATTCCATATGTATCCAAACAAATTAACCACAAATATACAGACTAAAATCTTCATTTCACCATACTTCAATCCGCTAACTGGGTGTCGTTAAAAAAGTATCCAGTCTTTTTGAATTCACCAAAATCCTTCAAGCATAACCCCTTGAACTTTTATTAACTCTTGGAATTCCCACGATCTTGGATATTGAACTTCAGGATTAAACGCGCAGACTTAAGGTCGTGTAGGAGAGATAGAGTTATCCAACATGAATAACCAAGATTAAACACATTTTGCAGCCTATGGTTATTAGAATCATCAACAGTATGTGAAGAAAACGGTACTTCATCGGTAGTGTAAATATTTACGACTAAGCTTACATGGGAGGAAAGGTTCTCTTCAGTGAGTAATAGCAAACAATGGTTTGGTGCAACCTGCTATTGCTTTTATATGATAAGTTAAGCATTTTTAACATTGAGCAGGATTAAGTTTTTTGAGGCATGATTCATTTTTTGTTTTATGTGATGGTACCAAATAGGCTTGGTAATTATCAACTGGAATTATTATTCCTGTTAAGAATTTTTCCATCTAGACATTATTATAGAGCAAGGTCCAGTGAGTGAAATCCTTTCCCTCGCTAAGAAGACGTGTACATTTCAGCCACAAATGTTTTCAGATAGAAAAACAAATCGGGTGTAATCAAAATTCAAAAGGCAATGAAATCATAGAAAAAAGAACTTTCTGACCTATAATATAATTACTCTACAGATATCAGACATAACAATCAAAGCATATACATTTTGTGAGAACGCCCATTAACTATCAAAAGCACATCTTCACGAATCCAAACTAATCAATCAAAACGTGGCGAATCCATTAAATGACTTCCTGATCCGATACAGTTAAAGTAACAATATATTGGCTACCCAAGCAAATTTTGTCATAGAAATCAAGCTTAGAAATCTAATGTGAAAACCCCATGAACACAAGACGTGCTTTCCAAAAACCCAGATTCATCCATGCAATATACGATTGATTTGGTATTCGATTTCAATAGCCCATGCCTCTAATAGCCACAATTTTTTCCTTCTATCTCTAAATTCCACTCTGAATCCCAAATACACAAATTTCTAGAATCTTCTAATCCATATTAGATATCATCTGATCTCAAGAACCACTAACCATAAAGAACATTGATTTTGCCAACCCCTCCATCAGATTGATTCCCCATTTATGAACAATTATCTCTCAATCCCAGGCATCAATTTTTTTCTTTAATTCCTAGGGTTTGCTGTGATGTATCCCTGTTTTTCAGACGTGTTGCTAACCCTCACCAGTAAGTCAAACGATTTTGCAAACCCATTAAACAGGCAACCAAACATATACACGGGCTATGATAGTTCTATAGGCATTTGACAAACTACTAAACATATCAAACAAAAGATAGAATTTTTCAGAACTAATCACCGTTAATATTTCAAGAAAACACAGTACAAACTCAAGAAACAAACCAAGAACAAAAGGAAGTAATTGGGTTTTCTTTTTTTTTTTCTCCTTTGATACCTTTAGTCCGCCATTAAAACAGTTGCATCAGTAAAGTCTTGCTATTAACGCTTTCCTGCAAAAGGCTTTGGGGTTTTCTTTCTCTCTTGAGAAGGAGAGTAGGAGATGGGAATGCAATGTGTGTAGTTATATGCAAAGTTGCAAACTATATATTTTTGAGGGGTAAAATATCTGGGTAGAGGGGGGCTGCTGTGACCCACTAACAGCAGCCCCAGCTGTTACTTAATAACCTTTGGATGAATTCTAATCTAACGGTCAACTAAGCTAAATTAAAAAATACACTTTCTTTTAGTTTTTCCCAGGAAAATGAATCAGGCAATGGATTTCGCTCAAACAAGCAATTCGACAAACACCACGAGAACACAGAACAAGATTACACATGAACACCAAAATCCAGCAAAAAACTGAAAACCCCAGAACAAATTCAAGATCCGACGAAACAGCCCAAGATTAGTAAGGGGTACCTTCTCACGGACGCGAGCTCGTCGCCAATGTACACACTCACTTTACAAAACAAAGAGCAATCGAAATAATTTTTTCTTAAAAAAAAAACAAATATACACAATTTGTACAAAATGAACGCTATATACTTTCCAGAATCCAAAAGCCCAACGAGTTTTCTGCCTTTCTTTTTCCTTCTCTTGAGACTATGGAGGAGAAAGGGGGTGTTGAAGAGGATGGGGAGAAAATTAATTAAGTCATTAGTTAGTTTCGTTACTGATTTAGTTATTACATGAACTGATTGATTATTGCAATGACCCAAGAAGAGATATGTAGTTGAAAAGAGAGAAAAAATAAAAAAGTAAAAAGAATGAAACAAAATTTAAAAATGAAATAAGAAAAAAATGGAATGAAGAGAATAATTTTGGGATGGTGGGGTTTTGAAGTTAAAAAAAAAGTGAATTATGGTAGTCTGCGCGGATGATGGGGTTGCATTGTTGGACTAATATAATTGTGGGTAGAAAGAGAAAAAGAAAAATGAAAAGAAAAAACTAAAAGAGAGTGTATTTTTTAGTTTAGCTTTGTTGACCGTCAGATTAAAAATCATCCAAAGGCTGTTACGTAACAGCAGGGGCAGCTGTTAGTGGGTCACAGCAGCACCCCCGGACCCAAAATATCTACGGGGTAAAATATCTACTACCCTGTATTATATGAAATCTGCGCGTTTCATCCTATATTTTAAAAATTGCGTCAGACCTCCTTCTATTAAGGTTTTACATGCGCGAAACACCCTAAACCGTCTAAGATGACAGAAGTGGCGTGCACGCGCGTGCTGTGCGACTTTTTTTTTTATTTTTTCACCCCAAAGTGGCGGAAATTACTGTTTTACCCTTGAATTATGTGCAAAACCTAAATGTTATGAAATGTGGGCAATAAGATTCGAACCTGGGTTGAAAAGGAAGGGAATGGCCGCTCAATTTAGGGCACGTTTGGTGTTCCTCATGGTCTTGTTAGGCAGGTCATTGGGTTATTTAGCCCCGTATTGTACATTGGTTTTTCAGATGATATANAGAATCTTTAGAAAACTACCAGTTTCTCCACCTGTTTTACAAACCACAACATTCTTAACTTTATTGAAAATTTGTCCAATCCGCAACCCAACTTCTGTGCTCATCCAGTTCAGAGGTACATTGATGACTTGCACCCATATGTTGATTTCCTCGAAACATGAGTGGTTACTATGTAGCCCCGGAAACCATTCTTTAAGAATAAGATACTGGTTCTCATACAGCCAGTTGTTACCAGCAACTACCTTCCGTTTGTCTTCCATTGAATTGAAAATAAACTGGAAGAAGTTTGAGCTTATCTCCTTTACCTCCATTGCAGTTTGTAGTTTCCAGATTGCCCCCATTGTACATTTTATTCCCAAAATGCCAGCTTTCCTATCTCCCACGACTTTCCCAAATAAGCTCATCGCACATTCTTCCTCGCTCTTTTTAACATCTTCATTTCTCAGTTCAATCTCTCCTGCTTCCTTCGCCGAGAAAGATATAGCCTGAAGCTTTTTCATGACCCCCTCCGTCATTCCACTATATGAAGCGTGACCTGGAGATTTATCCCCCATTTGATCAGACCAGTAACCCTACTGCTCCAAAAAAAACCAACCCAACTTGCAACTCCAATGCTCACGCCTGATCTTCCCAAACTCCAAATATTCACAATAAGTATGAATCGAGTCTCCCTCTCAACCTTCACCGAAGGAATATCCGAGCTCTCACCTGAGAGAATATTTCGCTCTCACCTGAGAGAATCGATTGTATCCAATTCAATGGTTCATTTAAAATTTATTTAATCATTGTATTATTTATATCTATATAACGAATTATTATATTATTTTTAATTTATAATATATTTATTTAATTATTATATTATTTATAACTTAAAAAATATTTACTTAATTATTACATATTTATAATTTATAAACTATATACTTAATTATTATTTATAACTTAGAGTCTATATACTTAATTATTACATTATATAGAATCTGTATAATTCATTATTATATTATTCATAATTTAGATCTATATAATTAATTATTATGATACTTATAATTTAGAATCTATATACTTAATTATATGATATTCCGCTATACAGTGTGATATATATAGATAAAATCACATTTGTAACTAAATGAGTAGTAGTTCAATTGGTAAGAGTTGTCTTTTACATCACAAAGGTGGTGGGTTACTTTTAAGTCAATATATTAACATTAAGGGTAAAATGGTAAATTCAATATTAAAGTAAGGATATAAAGGTAAAATTCAATAAAAAAGAAACGCCGTCAGCATTAAAGTAACGGCGTTAACTGGAAATGGCGAGTATGCATGCAAACATGAAATAGAAGGGGGTTTGACGCAATTTTTAAAATACCGGGGGAAAACGCGCAGATTTCATATAATACAGGGGGATTTCGTGCAATAAACCCTATTTTTGAGTGTTGGAAAGCAAGATTTGAAAATGTAAAATGTGTGCTTTGATGAAAATACAAAAGAAAAGGAAAAAATAAATTGAAAATGCTTGCTCCAAAATATACAATATATATTGTCTAAAGTTTGTATTTTGTAACGATACATTGGGAAATGAGGATGTTTGTTTGTAACTTATTTTAGAAAATTTTACTCTATTTTTAAGTTGGTATATTGGTAACCGAGATTGAAGAGTGCTCGTATTGACTCGAAAGATATGATAATAGAAGTCAATATAAAAAGCATTAAAGGAATTATATGTGTGAGCAAAGGTCGGTCAAATACATTAATCGATATTCAATTTTTGACACAATGAACGAACGGTTGATCGACATTGAAGAGTGTTCGTATTGACTCAGATGTGGTAATGTAAGTCAATATAACAAGCATTAAAGGAATTATATGTGAAAGAAAAGATCAACTAAGCACATTAACCGATATTCACCCAACGAACGAACGGCTGAGTACGTTAGTCGATATTCAGCTTCTGACTCAACGAATGAAATCAATTGCACGTTTAAATTAACACAAGTTCATACTTTGATCAAAATTCATTTTGTAACTAGAAGCAAACGTAATGAATTAATTATACGCGATCATTAATATGCATACAACCTTGTGAATCATGCTACATTATCAGAATGATGAAGCATTTGTTGTTGTTTTCACCATAATATTACCAACTACAATCTCAAGGATATTATTGCCTTAGTATTTGTGACACTCCACACACTTAAATATCAAGGATATCCGCAGAGAGAGGAAGAGGAAGAGGTTTAATACACCAGCTGAGACCACTGATAGAAAAGGAAAAACAATGTTTACATTTATTGATGTTACAAGCCAAGTTGATGAGTCATGAAGGATGACTAAAATCCTAACAAGAAATTGTTAAATTCACAAGGAAAACAGTTTCAGTAAGTGAAAACACATGTCAAATGAACTTGTTACATAATGAGTCCATTCTGTGTCGCAAGACTGAATAACGAGTCCATAGTTTGGATCATTCAGAGCCGAATCCATGTTCTCCATCATAGTACCTGAACAATTAACTATTTAATCAGAAAGTCAAAATATAAGGTGAATATCACATGCTAGAATGAACCAATCTCAGGCTAGAATGAACCGATATTTCTCCTAACAAGTCAAATGAACCAATATTTCATCTCATATCAGTCATATCAGTCATGCTAGGACATGTAAGTGTCTGAAAACAAAAAATGACAGTAACAATTAAAATCTCCTCATGTATTCAATTTGGCCGCTTGTAATTTCTAACGGATGATATTTACTAGCATTTCCCTAGTTTATGGATCTATTTTAAGCTAAATCTGACCTCCCGGGCATTTGATCGTTGCTATATTCAAGTTTCAAATAACAAAAAAGAAAGAATGGAAATCCCAAAGTACTGCAATGATATTGCTATACATATACACGAGTAAGTGCCCAGAACATAAATAACATAGATAAATAAAGAAATCGCTACACACAACAAGAAAATTGCATTAAAAGATACCTTTTTCACTTGGTAGTAGAATCAAAATTGATGAGGAGATGAATTTAGACCCGTTGCACTGGTGTTCTGTGAGGCTTGGGGGCTGAAGCAAATAGAGTAAACAATATCCAGGTGATGAAATGAACAAGATAATTATATTAGAGAAACTAAGGATAAAAGTTATACAAGAATGCAACTAAGGAAATGACTGAACCAAGTGACTGGGTATTATCTATTAAAGACGCCAGAATATGCTTTCGAGAAGTCCAAAGTTGCTTAAAGTCATCTAGTAATAGACTAATATAGCCAATTTGAGCATATTTAATGCCCTTCAAAAGACATGTATACAAAAATAATTTTTTAAAGCAAATATGCCCAAATTTGTATTTTGTCATTTTCCGCACTATATTTTAGATGTACATACATGCTCCAGAACATGGAGCTAAAGCTCACTGGCTAACATTAAAATAAGCTCACCATTTGGATTCCCTTGCTCATAGAAACTTCGTAGAAGGTTGATGGCTTCTGTTGCCATTATTCCGCCGGTGCACTTGAACTCCTTCCTAAAAGCCCCATTACTGATAAAGAATGACAACAATATCAAAACACAAAGTTGGTGGTAAGAATTAGTACCAATTGTCAATTAAAAAATTATTCCTCATTTCACCACATAGAAACAATTCCCTTGACTAGCCAAAAAATATCATGAATCAAACCACTCTGTTACTTTATTAAATGATACAATCCAATCACGAGATATAATGAACTAATGAAGTAAACATAAAGGCCTGAATCCAAAATTAAGTTCTCATTTTTCATATTCATTGAGTACAGATTCAAGCATCTTACGAAGAGAAAAGATCCAGAATTCTGACATGTCTCAAACAAGATAAACTATCAAGCAGGGAACTTATATTCAGCATTTACTAGTATTCTGACCAAGAGTTGCGGCTGTTCCATAATCAATATACTCTCACTTAATAAATTCTGTGCTTGTCTATCCTTGATCCTAAATGTAAATGTACAGAGAATAATTGGATTCTTTACATGTGGAGTTGTGCAATTATAATTCTATTGAGCAATAGAAAGGACTCAAGAATATCAGGCCACAAAAGATTAAAATAGCTGAGATATGTGAATTGGCTTTGTGGTTGCTACATATCATCTCAAATGAGCGGTTTTGCACATGCCATAAGAAGTAAAAGAATCATGGCACTGCACTCTGAATCTTAAACATTAAAAAAGAGGGAATGTAACTAAGTATTCAGTAGATAGCAAAAAGATCATGACGTTCTGCACTATATTTATTTAGAATATTAAATGACAGAGACCATAACTAAGTATTTCTAACAATCACGAATCTTGAGCTCTTGCTTATGGTTCGATTTTAGGATCATAATGGAAGTTCACCGGTCAGTATTCTCCACCAATTGCATGAATCAATGAGGTTTTCTTATTTATTTTCGAGAAACATAAAAAATATTTAGAAAAAAGATTGTTCCGTAACCACACCTTGTAAGCTTCCCAGTACCACCTGTGTGCAAAGACAAAATTGATCCACAACCTCCAAACTTATCATTTCCACAGCCATAAAATACTTCTTTTATCCCTGACAGAGAACCACGAAATGACAGCTAATAATACTTCGTGTATGAATTAAAAATTTCAAACAATGTGCAAATCACAAGCAATACCAATAATTGATAAGGCCGCTGCACACATTATACATGGCTCACATGTGACATAAAGTGTGCATCTTGAAAAATTCAAAGTGACTTTTTCCCTAGTCATTCCGTTTTTCCTCCACTGGTCAAGCAGCACATCAATTGCTTCCATCTCTGCATGTCGAGTAGCCTGCAATGCAGCTTAGATATTAATAAGCTTAGATATTAATAAGGACATTTGATTGTGTTTGCATGTATGTGTGTGTGTGTGTGTGCTTGATATGCAATTAAAATGATGTAGCAAATTACGTAAAGTCTGAATGTTTCAAGGAAATCCCTTACCGCAGATATGAAATGGGTATAATGAGGACAAAATATCATGCAACTTACTGTATTTAGGTAATTATGAACTTTCAAGTGATTGATCACTTATAACAAGTGGCACATGGAAAACTGACACTAGCGCAGATCAAGTGAGAGCAAATTTTCATTTTAAGTGGTCAAGGCCTTGTAGATGACGTAGAAAATCTCTTCAAAGCATTGCAGTCAAGAAGTTAAAAGTAGATTCAAAAACATTTACATGTTTCAAAACATATGGTAAAAATGAAAATATAAGTCCATTGACATTGGAGAAGGGCAAGCAGTTAGTTGAATTGAGTAGTTCATTAAAAAAAAGGCAATCAGCTCACACAAAGGTAACAAAACATTCACAGATATTGCAATCCTCCAAGTATCAAATTCAAACACCATTGGTATCTTAAATTGTGTTTCCAATTTCCATATCCCAAACTCCAGCATGGACCCATCACAGTGCTTCTATTTACTGAGTGCAGAGAATAACTCAGATGGATTCATTATCCTAGAACTGTTATCATTTTGTCATAGAACGCGTTATAAATCACCAGATAAAATTTCTAAGGGTTCCATAGGGCAGTACTGTCTTTTGGGATCTAAAGGTCATGCCAATCATGTTACCAACTGCATCCAATAAAGGTGCTTTGTCCCACTAAAGATTTAGAACAGATGCAGTAGTTTATCAGCTACAGATGTTTAGAGTGGAGGTCAAAGAAGACATGCAAAGAATTGTGGAATGCTAATAATTTTAGAGATGAGAAAAAAAAAAGTGTGTTTAGAATAGGCTAGCTTAAAACAGAGGCAATACATTTCTAGTCTCAGTTGTTCGATTTCTCCCTGAAGAAATGACCTTTTGATCCTCAACAATTACACAACTGGAAAACGTAAGAAAACAAAAACTGATCAGAACAAAACAAGAATACCTCATCAGTAACAATGTTTAGAATTTCAATCCCAGTTTCATCAATTAACATCCAAGTTGCCTGGTAGGGCAGTTGGATTGAACAAAGACTATCATTATTCACAGGTATGGAGAATTAGATGAAAGTGTTATTTCATGTCAACCTTGTTTGGACTGAAGATGAATTATTTTTTACGCTTTCCTCCCGCTCCCAAATGTATATTGTAGGAAGACAAAAAAGAATCTTACCCGACAGGTACTTCAAGGCTGTCCATTGCAAGCTTTGCCTGGAAGAAGAACAAGAAAGCATAATAATGCATTTGAGATCTTTATGTACACATAGAGAAATGTATGCGAGCATGAAAAAAGAAAGATATATTAGTCACGTGATACCCTGGAAACCTTGAATGTAGATATTTGTAATGAACAATATTACACCAAATGAGATCTATTTGCTAAAGAACAACTTCATATCTGTTTTTCATGTCAAAAGTTATTAAAAAAAGGTGGATCATCAAATATATTTTTGGTGATGTATCAAATGGAAGAGCCCATAAAAAGTTAGGAAGGAAAAAGGAAAAAAGAAAAAAAAAAAAAAAAAGGGATAGAGGTTACCACATTTTGACTATGAAGTACCAGATTATTGAAAGAGAAAACGGAACTCCAAATACAGTCTCTCAAAAAGACTTAAAAAAAGAAAGTGAAGGATAAAAAAGGACACTCCTCGAACCTGTTCTAGAGCAAGCTTCATAAATGCCACAGACTCCATATCTTCAACAGCCCCCTCATCAGAAGACGCCATTTTTGCTAAATAAAAGGAAGGCATGAGAAACGAGTTGTATCAAATATGCTAGCAAAACCACAAATAGTTCTTTTCTTTAAGAGGCATTTCCACAAACAGATAGAGGGCTCCATTAAAATATGCGTGACTTGAGCATGCGAGCTCGTTTCTACTTCTAGGGCAACTCGCGCGGAGCTGAATCTGGGGCTGGGCAACTCGCGCGGAGCAGCAACCTAGGGCAACTCTCGTCTCGCGAGGTAGAGGGATGAGCGATTCGAAGCTAATATTACTACTTCATCAGTTTTCAATATAACAACCAAGATTAATTAGAACAATAAAAAGGTAAATATAATCAGAAATGGGCAACGACTCTATCAGTCGACATTGGTAAAAACCGGCAAACCAAGATTATAGCAATTCTGAAAATAGCAAAATATAGTACGAAAAAGGAGAGCTTTTTAGGTTTGAGTTATCCACGTTCGAATATGCTTAAAAATCCACAAACAAAGTCGCAACTTTAAGCTGCGGTGATCGTTGGATTTAAAAATAAATCGGCTTATTTTCAAAACACCGTCTATAGAGGTCATCGGGTCACCAGAAATGGAAAACTACTGAGAAAATAAAAACCAAAAATCTAGTCCATTTTCCTTGCTAAATTGGATGATCTGCAGACTAATCTCACTTAAGCAAAGTCCAAGAAAATTGATAATTCCATGTTCCACTGCTAATTAAATGACTAAAATGACAATGTAGTATTTTTTAAACCCCTAACAACAGATGAAAAAAAAAAAGAAAAATCAAACAGAAATTGAAACAGATCCAATTTTTACCAACACAACAGCAAGATCCAATTTTTAGCACATTCATTATTATCAACACCATCAAAACCAGAAGATGGAACAAGGGCAAAGAACAAATCAAAAAGATCCAACGAAAAACAAATTAAAAATGTAAACTTTATTAGTTTTAAGGAAAAGGGCGAAAAACAAAAGCTTACTTTTAAGCTCATCAAGCCATCGTTGGACACTCTCGAAGGTAGCGTTCCTGGTGATGTCGTAGACGACGAGGGCCCACGGCGCCGCGGTAGTAGGTGGGCTGGGCGGCTGACTGAGTGACTGGAACGAAGGGATGAACGGAGGGAAGAGCGTGACGGGCCGACGGCGTGAGGAAGACGAGAATGAATTTTCAAGTCTGGAGCAATTAGCTAGGTTAGAATTTGGGTGAGTGACTGAGTGTTATTAGGTATTTACTATTTAGGTTAGTTTAAGATATATAATATATAATATATAATATAATATATATTTTATAAATTTTTATATAATATACGGTTCGGTTCGGTTAACCGGGGTAAAAAAATCCTAAAAACCGTAACCGAACCGAACCAAGCAAATACTTCCTTTGAGGTATTTGTAACCGAACCGAGTACCCCGGTTAACCGAAAATTCGGTTCGATTTCGATTCGGATCTACGATTCAGCGGTTCGGTTCGAATTTTTTGCCCAGTCCTAATAAGAGCTCTATAACTAAATTAATGATAAATTTTAAACGAAAATTTAAAATTAATTTATGTCTTTTGAAATCCATAATGAAACAAACAAAATGAGGTATATTATTGATTTCTAATAATTTGATTCATCGATTGAAGAAAGAAATGAGTGGCATGTGTGCATATAAAAACTTTATTGTTTTTATTTGTTATTATTATATTTAATTTTCGATCGAATAGTGTTGTTAAAAAATTTATGAGAAGAGTTTTCTAACAATGAAAAATCATATGAAAATACTTGAAATCAATAGTAAAATAAATTGATAAATGTCGAGTTTTAACTTTTAAGGCGACCAACCTAAATTTACCGTTTGATTTCATAACACTTATTTTGTGTATAATACTTGTAAATGTTTTTCCTTGTTGAAAGAAAAAAAATTGTAGAAACTTGTGAGTTGTGAGTGATGATTTCATGGAACCTATATTGTTTAAAGTTACTTGTAAGTTGGAAGTGTTTTTTTTCTTTTTGGAAAAAAAAAAAACAAAAAAAAAGGTAAAATTTTGTGAGTTGTGACTCATCAAGCTGTGTTTATAGTAGCGTATCGTGTATGGAACAGTTCACAGAACACAGAATGCAATTGAATTATTAACTGCAAATATTATGAATTTGAATTTTTTTTTTTCAAACGATAGAATTACTCATAACAAAAAAAGAATCAGAAGTTCGAATACAAACCGGGAAAACACGGAAATCGCAAGACCTGAGAGAACTGCTACAAACAAGCAGCCTAGAAACAAATGCACACTAAACCAACTAACATAAGGATCAAAGGCAGCTAGGGACAAGCTGTGACCTTCAACTCCATAGAAATTTATAATTCCACACACTCGAGCATTTAAACAAGAAAAAAATTACAGACATGTACTCAAATACAAAAATAAGAATGGAAAACTATCACTGACCATAGACCTAACAGCTCCCATTCCTACTCCTGTACTCATTGTCTGCTTGCCTGAAAATCGGTCCAATCCTGCCAAGCTGCTCGTATAATGTATACATCCGGTTTCCACACACCTTCAAACACCCAAAGATTTCTCGTTTTCCATAGTCACCATAAGATATACGTAGATAATTGAATACGAGCTACAGAGGTTTCTTTACTGTCCATTGTGCATATCCACCACCACCATTCCTTGAACGAGAGCTTATCAGTTTGTGTCATATCCCAACTCACTGGGGCCAGCTTCCAAGTCCTTCTAGCTTTCGCACATTGAAATAAAATATGTTCTTGAGTTTCTGCTGCTTCCCCATAAATTTTGCAAATATCATCAACACAAACCCCTATCTTTTTCACATTGGCTCCCATAGGTAAGATGTTGGAAAAACACATCCAAATAAAATGTTTGACCTTCCCCATGATTTTCATTTGCCAACATCTAAGTCGAGCTTTAGAATTCATCCCTGCCATACTGCTAGATTCTGCTTCTTCAAACTTCACAACTTTCCCAGCTATCATTTTAGAATAAAGAGAACTCACCGAGAAATTACCTTTCACAGCAAATTTGCAAGAGATGCGGTCTGGCAGAGCCGGGTTGAGAGTGTCGATTAGCATGATCTTAGCCGCATCTTCTTCCTCAAACAAAGCTTTGACGAGCGTCTGATCCCAGGTTGTACCTCCATTGCTCAACAAGTCTTTCACCTTGAGATTGACTTCTAAACCTGAGATTCTGATTCTTGGCTGGCCCACCCTAATGCCCGGCACCCAATTGAAATCCGAGATGTTTGTATCAGCCCCATTCCTGATAGTAATCTTTATCCCAGCCTGCAGTATATAAATCAAGGACGACCACGAACTCCACAACCACGACACACCTTGCTTGCGTTTATATTCAAGCAGAGAACAAGCCGGAAAATATTTATGTTTTAAAACTTGACAAACCAGCAGGTCAGGCTTGCTCATTATCCTCCATAACTACTTACATACCATGGCTTTGTTGAAAAGAAGCAAGTCCTGAAAACCCAACCCTCCATTTTTCTTCGGCAAAGTTAATTTATTCCAAGCTTTCCAGTGGTAGCCAGCATCTTGCTCCTCCCCCCTACTCCACCAAAAATCGGCCATTAACCTGCTTACTTGTTAACATACTCCAATGGGAATCAGAAATACAGACATCACAAATACCGACAACGCATTAAGAACAGATCGAATCAACACTTCTTTTCCTGCAGTCGATAAAAATTTATTCCTTCAGCTACATACACGGGTTGTAGCCGCTTCACTCACATAAGCGAAAGCCTCAGTTTTTTATTTCCCAATACCAAGCGGCAACCTAAGTATTTAGTAGATTTATGCACCGCAATGCCAAACAAAATATTACAAATACTGAGCTGCTCATTTTCAGAACAATTTTTACTCAAAAACAAGGAAGATTTAGCTAAATTAACCTTTTGCCCTGTGTAAGATTGATAACTTTGCAATATTTGCATCAACCTATTGGCATGTTCCAAGTCAGCTTTACAAAACACAAGAGAATCGTCGGCAAAAAGAAGATGAGAAATCGAAGGCCCTGTCCGAGATATTCTGATGCCATTAAACAGCCCCAAACTTGCGTGCTTATTCAGCAAAGAAGAGAACACTTCCGACACTATAATGAAAAGATAGGGTGACAAGGGGTCACCCTGTCTTATGCCTCTGGTAGGTGCTACAAGCCCGCACACCTTGCCGTTGACATTGAAAGAAAAAGAAGCCGATGAAACGCAGACCATAACCCATTTAATAAAGTTGGGATGGAATCCCATTTTGAACATAGTCCCCCGAATACTCTCCCATTCAATGCGGTCGTACGCTTTTTCCATATCCAACTTTATAGCCATAAACTTATTTGGACCTGTTTTGTGCCGGTTTAGGAAATGAAACAGCTCATGCGCAATAACCACGTTATCTGTTAATTGTCGGCCGGGGCAAAAGCTATTTGCGCGCGGTTGATACAGTGAGATAAACAGCCTTTCAACCGAATCGCTAGAATCTTTGAAATCACCTTATAGAGTACTCCGCATAAGCTTATGGGTCTATACTGCTTCAATGATTCAGGATATAAACATTAGCGTGATAAGAGTGTGATTCCATGCTTTCAGAATTTACCCCAATGAAAATAAACTCCTGATAGCTGAGCAAATGTCTTTCTGCACAATGTTCCAGAAATGTTGAAAAAATTTCGTAGTCATACCGTCCATACCCGGTGATTTATCGGGAGCTAAATTGAAAACCGCTGATTTGATTTCATCGTCGGTTACCGGAGCCACCAACATGTTGTTCATGGACAAAGAAATAGACCTGGGAATTTGGTCCAGCACACTGTCTCCCCCTTGCGACCCCTCAGAAGCAAATAGACCCGCATAGTAATCGGTAATATGTTTCTCGATCTCCTCCTCTGTCTCACAGATTCCCCCATCCTCTCGCAGTAGACTCTGAATAGCATTTTTTTTCCTTCTGTGTAACGTATACGCATGAAAAAATTTAGAGTTGCAATCGCCAGCTTTCAGCCACAGCGCTCGAGCTTTCAATCTCCAGAACTTCTCCTCTTCATTGTGCGCTTTATTTTTTGCTTGGTGCTCTGTTCAGAGTCTCCATAAACAACACATTATGATCCGAGGAGCTACGAAACAAATTTGATGCCCTGGTCCCTGGAAGTTGTTGCATCCATCCTAGCGATACGAAAATCTTGTCCAACCTTTCTTCGATATAGCCTTCCCCATCTCTGTTATTCCCCCAGGTGAAAAACGAACCGCACTGATGAAGCTCCTGCATTCCCATATGGGCAATAAAAGCATTAAATTCATTGAATGAACTAGCCGACCTTTGCCTGCCGCCTCTCTTTTCCTCATTACTACAAATGTCATTCCAATCTCCGGCGATAGCCCACACTTCTCCCCAGTTTTGTTGAGCATCTTTTAGAAACCGCCACTGCTCTTTCTTTGCACTTTTATCGTTGCTCAAATAAACCATTGTAACCCACATCCATTCTTTATCCCCAAAACATCTAGCCTCCACCTGAATACAAAACTCATTCCCCAGCACCTGTTTCACTTCAGTTTCAATATCCCACATAAGGAGTAGTCCCCCTTTTGTGTCAACGGGTTTAACAAGAAACCATCTGTTATCACAACCTAGCTTTTTACATATTGCAATCCTTGATTTGGGAAACTGTAGAGGGCCCACCCAGCCCTCTACAATTCCACACCATAGCCTTCATTGGTCACCTCGGGGCCATTTTAGGCTGGCCTTCTCCACCTTCAGATGTTCGGTTTTGGGTTTCTTGTCCAAATGTTTCTCCTCCTCAAGAATTTCTCCACCATTCTGCAAGAATATTTCACCATCTCTATCTCGTTTCCCTCCTGTTGCAAGAATGCATGTATCAGATATGTCAGGATTTCCTTGTACTCCGCCTATTCTGACCCAGACCTCCTCCAAGTTTTTTGTCCTGAAGGACCCTTTCTCCCAGTTATGTCACTACTGAGTTCTTTGCCCTCATGCCCATCTGTGATTGTGAGGACTTCAGTGACCTCCATAATCTCTATCCGGTTATCTTCAACTTCTCTTTCCACCTCCAACTGGCTTGTGATCAACTCAGTGAGCATTTTCTCTCCTCCCGCATCTTCGTGCTCTACAATTTCTGCTTCCTGAACCATCTCTACACCCTTTCGCTGTTCACCCATAGCAGATGTGCTAGGTTGCCTAGAAGTGTTGGCCTCGGCATTAGACTCCAATTTGGAATTTATTTGAGGTTCATCCTCCTTTGGCTCTAACCCTGTAGTGTACGATTGTCTCCCACCATACATTGCCTCACCTGTTTTCAGCCAATCCCCATACTGCCCTTCACGAAGTTTTTTCTGCTCAATGTCTGATAATCTCCGGCTACACATCCGATCTACATGACCGATGCACCCACAGTAGTAGCAAAGGTTCACTAGTCTTTCGTATTTGAATGAGACTAGATGTTGCTGGTTCTCAAGCTTGACAAAAGTGAACCTGGGCAGCGGCTCTTTGATGTTTTTGATGAAGCTTCCTGTCTCACCTCCCAGCTTGCAAACCGCTACGTTTTTAACCCCTGCAAACACTCGCCCAATCTTCAACCCTACTTCATTACACATCCAAATGAAAGGAACATCCAAAACATGTACCCACATATTGACTTTATCGAAGCAGTTATGTTTGCTATTCATTCCCGGAAACCATTCATGGAGAACAAGATATTGGTTCTCGAATAACCAATTTATTCCAGCAACCACTTTCAAATTATCAGAGTTGGAATTAAATAGGTATTGAAAGAAGTTCGATTCTAATTCCCGAACCTCCAAATGTTGTTGGATCCGCCATATCGAGCTCATCGTACGTCTAATCCCATTAGCGTTGCCCTTCTGTCACCGATCACTTTCCCAAATAAGCTCCGCCCACATTCTTCCTCACTAGCTTCAATATCCTCACATTCTTCCTCACTAGCTTCAATATCCTCCCTTTTGATGTCAATACCCCCTAACTCTTTCTCCGAGAACGAGAATTTTTGGAGTTTTCTCATAACCTCTTCCCCAGCTTCTTCTGTGCTCGCCATTCCACCAATTCAGATAAGAAAAAGAAAATCCCTACTATATCGCACCAAGACTGAAACCAATCTTACCCAGATCTGATAAGTCACCTTCAGCAAAGGAATATTTCTCCCAAGCAAGAGAATCGCCCTGCTCTCACATGAGAGAATATTATGAATTTGAATTACTCAGTTCAGATAGATATTTTTCCAAAAAATCACTTCACATAAAAGATAACACATTAAATTGATATAACTATTTTCACCTATGTAAAGCTTTATTAAATTCATCGTACAAATGTTTGGGAAAAAATAGCTCTTCAAATGTCCAGAAATACAAAAAAAATACATATATATATATATATATTTCAATCAATTCAACAAATGATCCAAAAAGTAAGCAAATGATCCAAAAGCCAAAAAAAGAATACCATCTCATCAAATCAAACCAATAAAAACGTGCATTTCCAAAAGGGGCTATTCTTTTAACAACAAAATTCTCCACAAGCCCAACAATTCATCAATTAACCAAACAATCCTAAACACAAAATAAAAATTAAAATGACAAAAAAAAAGTTTCAACTTCTCAGTTAACACCCAGCCTTAGTTTCTCTCCACTGTACTATGATAAATTCACACAGAAGATTAAAAAAGAAACTCCTGCATCGAAAGAAACAGAAAACGAGAGAGGTAGAGATAGAAATTACACAACAGCTCGAGCAGGAATCAAGAAATGCTAAACTGGTATGACATCAACCTTTGAAGTGTCCTCACACGTCAAAACGATGCCTTCAAGACTAGCGGGAAGAATGCATTTACTCCACTGACATCCAGTCGAGAATGGCTCAGACGGAGGAACAATCATTAACACATTTTCATTCCTTTGCACGACTCCCATTACACTCACAGTGCTACCTTCTTTGATGTACCTGTTAATATAGATTATTTTTTTTTTAAAAAAAAAGTACGAGCTTAGAGTGATTTTCGAGAAGCCAATAACATTAATTAACACATCACACACGAGGCCTCTCTTTATGATTTCAGAGTGGACCTTGTTGGCCAATTCTTCACAATGAGAGAGAGAGAGAGAGAGAGAGAAGGCAATTGTACCCTTCTTTGAGGCGCATCACACGGTCATCACTCGAGAGGTTTCTCCCTCCCAACCACCTGACAAAATCGGGAGACATATCCTTGTTGGATGGGTTAATGTCAACCACCACAGATTCATCCACATATGGTGTAACATGTGCACCATACCCAGTTTTCACCAAAGCCCTCAACCCAGATTGGAAGTCCGAAATATAGAAATCAACAACGTGCCTCTACACACACATAAGATAAAAATCATTTTTAGAACTACTTCACTAAGTGAATTAAACCAGAGATAATGACATAGTAACATGCCACTGGGAATTTAAAAGCATCCACTAACAGGGAAAAGGAAATGAAGAAAGAAGAAAGGAAAGTCACAAATTTTAGTCATATCGCAGTATAAACCCCCACTTTATTCGATTGGGTCAACAGTTAACCATTTATAGAGTTGGTTCCATTCAAACAAAATTGCACAAGCATTTAAATCAATAAACACAAACTACACGTGATCGCCTAAAATTACACACACATAATACATATACACACGGTCACAGAAAGATGGAATTAAGATTTATTCAAGCACAAAAAGGTACAATTGTTTGCTTTTTTTTCTCACGAGTCAAAAACTCGGCATGTTAACCAGCATAAGGTTAACTCAAATGTTAATCAATGAAAACTGAGAAAACACTTTGTGATTGTCCATCAATGAAGGTATTAATATTCAGTGGTGCAAAAGATTTACAATATGCATGAACCAGACAATATCTCACCTCCAACGTACGAAGGCCCCAGGTAAAGCGGCGGTGAGTGGGGTTCGCTGCTTTGGAATCCCACCCTCTGTACTCATACAAACTTGTTGATGTATAAACACATCGGGGAATTTTTTGGAATGACGACTCCAGAGGAACATTTCCACATGTGACAACCTACCAAGCAAAATTTTAAAAAGAAAAAAGAAAAACGAAAAAAAAAAAAAAGAAAAAAACACAAACTTGTCAGGACTTCTAACAGTGATCAGCTTTTGGGAATTCAATTACAAAAAGGCAAAACAGTAGTCAAAGAATATACGATTACTAGAAAACATCAGGAATTATCAAGAGACAGATTCATCACAACACTACATGAACTAAATCTTCAGAGACTGACTACAGTAGGAATGCACATAATACTATTTTCCCTAAGATTAAACAGTTGCATTGATTGGGTTAAGAAACCCTAGCTGTTATCATTAAAGCTGTATAAGAACCATAGAACTTTTATTCCTGGATTTGCAGCTCTGCAGCATATGAGCAAACATTTTACTTCTGTTACTTCCAAACGCTATCCTTACACACATTTACTGTCAGCAGTATGCTATTACGTATCAATGAAAATACTTCAATACAACATTAATACTCCCACGAACCAAACGCAGCTGTACACGTACAAGATTCTCAATTTACATTCTAGAATCAATGTCACACAGTAGTTTTTTATATCAGCAAAACAGTAAAACCGGATTTCCAAATGAACTGCAAGAAAGTACCATGTTCTCGGATAATATGATTTTCTTCAAGTAAACAATAAACATACCCCAGAAACTTTGACAAATTGGCCATCTTTCGCAGTTCGCAGCTCAGCATCCGGATAACTAGCTATATAGCTAGTAATAGCCCTCCTTCCCCAACAAGAATTCCAGGTAAACAAAGTTGCCACCAAAGCAAAAAGTACAACAACAACCACAAGCAGAATTGGGTTTCGAACAGCTCCCAGTATAAAACCACCAGCAATAAATCCCATGACAAATATAAGAATGATAGCCCAAAAAATCGGCCTCGGGAAGCTCTTACTGAAAGAATACTCATCATCTCGGTTAAGATGGGTAACAGCCTGATTGTTAACAATAGAAGCATTCTGCATTTTCATAGAGCCCATAGACTCCAACGGGCCAGATACCTTTCGAGGAGCCCCAGACGAGTTTAGTGGGCCTGATGTGATAGGCCCAGATGTAATGAGGCCAGTAGTTGGCAGAACAGGAGGGAGAGGCCCAGAATTCTGACGAGAAACGGCGGTCCCACCTCCCTGTGGGCCCGACGATTTCTTCAAAGGCTCACCGTGTTTGTTAAGTGGGCCCGAATTCGTCTTCTTCATTGAGGCGGATCCAGTGGCGGGCCCACGGCCCACAGAGTTCAATTGGCCCGAGTTAGAATGGGCCCCACCGAAAGAGCCCGTTCTCAAGGGAGCACCAGTTACGGGCCCAGATTTACGGGATCTGGAGCCGTCCGTTGGAATATCGAACATTTTACCGAGTTCGCCTGATTTTTTTATATCACCTCCAGTGTAAGGCATGGCCACTGAGCTCATTGTTGGAGTCTTCTCTTTCGGCTGTTCGGGCCGGCCCGAAACGTAAAGGCCATTGCTCAATTTATGAGAGGGAAACCGAGAACCCATGTAGCAAAGCTTAAATTCGATTCTTCAAAGAAGCTAAGATATCAAAGAAACAATGGTACGCAAAATATTCCACCAACAAGAACAATTTATTAAAGTATGGCACTCAGAAGATCAACAACGCACGATGAGATCCACCAGATAATACACCTAGAAAGTAAAATGGAGAAAAAGCACATAACCAAGGGTTAAGTATATATATGTTTGTAATCCACTTCAAAATTAAATTTAAGAACCAGCGTTAATTAAAAGATAAAAATAAAAATTATTAGCCAGCTAAAGCACACGTCACGAAAGTCGACAACAGCAATACATCTAATGCGCCAACGCACTCCCACCAAAAGTACCCCACTCGGAAAGTATTTATTTCTTAATAAATGTATGTCTGGATATCCCTAAATCAATAAATCAGCAGATAGGAAATGTGAAGTTGTGAACCATACTCGCACCAACTGTTAATCGAGCAATGAGCATCCAAAGCGATTATAGCAATTTGAAGAATAAACACCAAATCGAGCTGCCCATTAATACTTCCGACGTGTGAAATTCGAAAAATGCTTCTCAGCCGAGTAAGTAATAAAACTCATTAATAAAATTTATCCAAAAATTCAAGACACCTAAACTCTAAAGGTGTCATCTACTGTATCATATACAGTTTGAGCTGGACATACTAAAATTGAAGTCACCAAAAGGAGAATAGTACTGTCTAAATCCCAGATCTGATTACGACTCCCCTCCGAATACAGTGATTAAACTCCGAAAACAACATAAAATTCCACAAGCCAGTCAGGAGTAAGAATATCTTTCAGAAATACTAACAAGAACAGCTAAAATCGAGGCTCACACTATCAACTAAAACCTGAACTTCACAGATCCAGAAAGAAAGAAACAGAAGCAACACACCAATCCGGCATTTCACAACAACGTNTATTTGAAAAGAAAACCAAAGGATCTAAACTCAGCCATAAAGGGGAAAAAAATCCACAATTTAACACGATTCATAACTAAAACCTAATAAAAACTCCAAAACAAAAGAACCCACAACAATTTAAACCCAAATGCGCAATGTGACGAATCAAGCAAGTCAATCAGCCTGGAATTCAAATGCTACCAATACGCAAAAGGAAAACAACAGAGATAAATCACAAAACCTGTCTCAAAAGCAACAAAATTTCAAACAAATAAGGGTCATAGATACAGAAACAGACCTGAAAACCTGGTTGAGTTTATTACGCCGAGGAATGGAGACATGGAAAATCAGAAGGCGTTAAGGCTTTTTACTTGCGGAGAAAAAAAAAATGGAAAAGAAAAAATTTGGAGAATATGAGATTAGATTTTCCGAAAGAAATGAGTGAAAAGAAAAAAAAAAAGAAACTGCGAAACTGAAACACACACTTCACCTTCCAGCTTTTCCATCAGTTTTCTAGTGCTGCTAAATGTCAAATGACTATTATAACCTCCCAACCTACCTTTATTATCTATTTCTGCTATGGCAATCTTTAAGTCTTACCCCTACTTGTGGCAAAATATTTTGGTGTAATTTATCATATATTTTCTACTATTATTTGTGCTGTTTTTTAAAGTATATATATTTTTTTATGTGGAATTATGTTAATCCGTTGAAAACGTATTATAATAATAATGTGGAATTATGTTAATCCGTTTCCACTAACAACAACATTATTGCTCTAGTTTGTAATGATTTTGCTAGTAATTTGTAAGCTTATGAATGTAAAAATAATAATAATAATGTATTCTTCATTTACCAACATAATGAGTGAAGTTATGAAGAAAGCAGGTAGTTTGAACAATTTTTTTTTAAAGAGGAACAGTTGGTAAGTCTTGTCAAACTCTAATAATATAAAATCATTGTTAGTTTGATGATGCTTTTTAATTAAATTTCTTAGCCTAAGTAAAAGAACTTTTAAAAAGCAATAATAACTATGTTAAAACATATGTACGTTGTTACACACTTACACTTCATAAATTAAGAATAAATAAATAATTGGATCAGTATTTGAACACCCTGTAAGAGAATCAAATGTTGCTGGCTATGACTATTTGTACTCTGATACGTACAACATGCATTATGGATACTGAATGACTTATACCTGATATTGACTTAAAACTTACCTGCTCCATTTATCTGGCCCACCCTCAATTTTAAGTGTAGGTGTTAATTTACTAATTATTTATTTATTTCTAAATGANTCACACATAATATTATAACTTTTTTGAGCCACTAAAAACTATCATATAAAATTATGAAACATTAAAATTAACAAATAATAGAGATTTTTTAGTTTATAAACTCTTGATAGAGAAATAATTAGTGTGAGGATATATAATGTCGATCAACAAATAAGCATATTGCAAACCATTGGGCCACTACTTAAATGTTTTAAATAAATTACTATATTTTACAGTATCACTTTGGTTGCTGGGAGTACGTAGAAGCACAAAATTAAAACAAATCAATCAATTATTTATTGATTTTTCCCCTTCATAATATATATGTGACAAGGGTGCCAATGGCAAAATCCATAATTTCATTAATGTAGAAAAATGTGATTAAAAGTCCCAATTTTAATACATTAGAGTAGACCTATATATATTAGTTTGACAATTATTTGAAATAACACGAGGTTTTTTGTTAGGGACATTTACATGTGGGTGATGCCCCGGCATATTAATTTATTATAATTATATATAGTCCACGGCCAATTACGTTAATATTGCTTTTGAAATTTTCAAA